CCCATGGTGAGCGCCTTGGCCTTGGCCCCCTGCAGGGAAAAGAAGCCTGGTCTTGTTTCTTGGAGAAGAGTCCAGGCTCGAGTTTTTGCCCTGTTTGGGAGCATTTTGTTCAGTCTACCAAGGCAAGGAGCTGGGGATTCTTTAAAGCAGGGGCTGGGGTCTGCAAAACAAGGGCTGAGATTGGTGAGAAAATGGATGGGATGTGTCCTGACTCTCCTGGGGAGGGAGAGCAGGCCCCAAATGGGCGCAGCTCCAGCCCCTCTGTGCTGCACACCAGGGCACCTCCTAGACTTGCCCGGGAACGGCTGCTTTCGCACTGGCCTCCCGCACAGTCCATCACTGGCAGGTGGCCAGGTCCACGGCAAAGCCCACGGGCAACGAGCAAGATGCTGGGGAATATCCGGCTCCTTGGACAAGACTATGGAACACATTTAAACCCACCCTCAAATTAGCAAATATGTTTACTCACCTAATACAACTTTATTATGTTTACTCAGCTAAACCACAGCCCGCAGGCTCACCCTATACGCAGAGATGTTAGAAAAGGATTGGCCACCGCTGAGCTTTTCCGCGAAGACTGATTTGCTACTTGTTGATTTCCTTTGTCATCCTCAGCATTTGCCAGCGAGTAAGCCTCTGCTCATGGTCACCGGCGGTTTAAGGATAACTTGCCAGGGGAGAGGTTTGCATTTGAGAAAAAATTCCAGGAGACATTAGTAGATTACTTCTCCAGTTCTTACCATCCCTTCTGCTATCTCAAGAACCCAGATTTGTTGTGTTATGGCCATCCACGCTATAGCATGGATCTTGCATGTCCTGCCAGGCCTGTGTGCTAAAGGTTTGCCCCCAGGGTGTGCTGCTGGAAGGTGCTGGGGCCTAGTGGGAGGTCTTTAGGTCACTGGGGATTGTGGCCCAAGAGATTGGTGAGATCTGAGCTGCTCTCTCTTCCTTTTTATTGCTTTCTGGGCCTGAAATGAGCAGTTTTGCTCTGGTATGTGCTCACTCCACAGCTCAAAGTGAAGAGGTCATCCCATCACAGACTGGAACCTCCAAAACTAACCTCTTTTCCAAGTGAATTAGCTCAGGTATTTTATGACAGCTATAGGAAGCTCACAAACTCACCTCAAGTCTCTTAGTAATCCCCAGGTGCTTTTGGGTGTTGTCATAAGTAAGTGCGAGCTCAGAAAAACTGTCCATGCAGCTGTCCTTCTTGGAACGGGAATCATCACCACTTAGGGGACAAGAGGGACCATACCAGGAGCCATGGTGACCTTGCAGCCCCTCACCCTGGACTCCAGGCCTATCACCAAGGAATATCTTCACTACTTGAAACAGTTTGGGCTGGATTTCCTAAGCATGCTGATTTCTACACCGGTTTCCCCTTCACACTGGTGAAAGCAATCTGCGTGCGGATTTGCAGCAGGATCCTCTGTCCACCTTGATTCTGAGTTGAAGGCTGCCGTTTGCCCCTTGCCCTTCCCGCATGACACTCGACATAGGGGCAGCATTGCTTCTCTCTGCCTGGGAGGAGCATGGTTACATTCGGGTTCCCCCAGAAACAGACCACGGCAAGGACTTGGAACAGGTGATTCATCTAGGGGTGATGCCTGCACGCTCAGAGCGGAGATGGAGAAGTGAGACGTGGCAGGGGAGGAGGCCCCCAAAGTGCCTATCAATAAGGGGTTTCCACTGTGGGCAATAGGTCCAATTCACTGGGCCTCAGAGAGACCCGGGGATGAGACCTTGATGTCTCCATTGGAGAGGGGAGAAGTGGACATTTATATGCAGATGGCCACTCCCATGGACAAGGAACCTTGAGGGCACAAACTCCCCTGGCATGACTGGCTGTACCTACAAGGGGAGGACTGTGTTCCCAAGGTGGTAAAGAACGGAAGAGAAGTGTAGTAGGTGTCTCCTGTCTGTGGAAGAGCTATGCAGATAGGCGCTCTGCACAGGGCATCCCAGCCTCTGCCCAGGCTTCGAAGCCTCAACAGTGAAATGGGCTGTGTTGGTACTGACATGGCCAAATGATATGAAAAGGACAGTAACAAAGGTATTTCCTGGCACACAGTAGGAGCTCTGTAAATAGTGTCTCCATAAGATGGGGGGGCAAGGCGGAAGAGGGCCGTCTTAGTCATTGGGCAGGCTTTCCCTAAAAGCCAGGGCATTTCCCTAAAAGCCAGGGCATTGTCCTGGCCAGGCCGTGGGGGGCCACACCGGTCAGCCAGGCCAGGCGGGATTGCCGCCTGTTCAGTGTCAGCGGCCAGGGCCCAGGATGGTCCTCAGGGGCGCTGCCGCCCACCTGCGCCTGTGGGCTGTGCCACTTGGCCCTCTGGCCCAAGCAGCCACCTGCTCCCAGCTGCGGGAGGCCCAGCCGCCTGACCTTTCCCTCCCAACGTCATTTTCCATTCTGCTGCACTTTTGGCCGGGGCTGAAAGCTGCTCTGGGTGAGCTGGGAAGGATTGTTCCAAAACTTTCATTGTTTTAGGATCAGATTGCCCAAGCCTCGAGAATCTGATAGCAACCAGAACCTCCGCTGAGTCACTGAGACTCACGATGGGGGCCTTGGACGGCTGGGGCCCGAGGACGCAGGCTTGCTTGGCCCATCTGGGCCCAGAATGCTTTAGCAGCGCTCTCCTGCCTGCAGCTGAGCTTGGAGTTTGCGGCTCGGGCCAGAGGCCAATTTGGCACAAGAGCCTGGACCTCAGCCTGGGCTTTGCTCTGCCGTAGCCAGTGTAGTGGGGAAGGTGGCAGCCTCTCTCGTGGGCAGGGAGAATGCAACCTGTCCCTCCCATCGGCCAGAAGGAAGGGGGTTCTGGACCTGGAGCTAATGCTGGACAGACCACAGGATGCCCTTCCCAGCCCTCCTGATGGGAGCGTGAAGGCAGAGGGATGGCCAGCACTCCCAGACCCGTCCTTCCTAGCTCTCCCGCTCCACATCCTAGACCAGGCCAGGGAGTGCGGAGCCCTGGACTGCTCACCACTCATACCCTCTTCTCAGCATCTCCTTCACATCTGTATCCCACATTATTTTGTAATATTCACCTGAAGAGTAAAATGCAAGACTTTGAGAGATCTGTACATGCATTAGAGACCCAAAGAATCCAGTTGAGGGCCTGGATCCCATGGCAATGTTCTGCAGGAGTCCAGCTGAAGACCTAGAGCCCATGGCGATGTCTACCACGAGTCCAGCTGGAGGCTGAGAGCCCACGACAATGTCTCACACAAGTCTGTATCAAGGATCTGCACTGGGAAGGCCCAAAGGTCAGTGGTGGAAGCTAGAAAGTCTGTGCCAGTGGGATGAAGGATCTGTGCCAGCAGGCTGAGGGGTCTGACTGGAGCCAGGAAGCGACACTCAAAGTAAGGACCAGAGCTGCCCTGAAAAGAACCACAGCCATCCTCAGCAACAGAGAGATCCCAAATTCATCCGACCGTGAGAACAGCCAAGTTTGTATCAGGAAAGCCAGCATGACAAGTTTCTCCAGGAGGATCAATAGCACAACATCTTCCACTCCAGTTCTCTTTTTATGCTGTTGGCAACGATCCTCAGGTGGGCCTTCCACACCCAGAACCACGCTGATTCCACTCAGCTGGGTGTTACAAGATGACCGTTACTTAATCCGCCACAGTCGGCCTGGGAAGGAGTCCCCTGGAAGTGTCCAGTCTGAAGTAGCCTGGGGAGATAGGAAAGTGGAGGGCTGTCCAGTGAGAGCAACTGCTATTGCTCACAAAGGCGGTGACACAGCTTAGAAATTGCATTTTAGACCTTGGAATTGACCAGATGATCCAGTAACAAGCGTAACATGCCTGACTTATAATAATAATCCATTCTGCACAGCAAAGCTCTCCAGGGACCCACAGGAGACAGCATCTCTGCTCAAGGGAGTGCTCCTCCCCTCCGGTGCACTCAGGCAGCAGCCTCAGGCAGGATCCACAAGCCCCTTGCCCCGCACAGAGACGTGGGGCGGCTCCACACCTGCCCTCACAGGCTGGGGTCTCTGTTCCCACACTCGTCTCTGGATGGGGTGGTGATCAGTTATTCTCTGTGAACTGTAAATACACCCCTTTAGCAACTGCCTCCTTCATGGTTTGGTTTGGTGCCCCTCTCCTCCTTCTCAGCTGGTATTACTTGGGGCCCTTTCTCTAGTCAAAATCTCCTCCCTGAAAAAAGCAGAAAGCAGCCATTCTCTTTTAGGTCTTACCTCTCAGCTTGGTTGAACTTGTTGGTGAAAAGGGCATCTGGATTTTAGTAGATGCTCACTAAAGTAGAAAAAAAAGCAGGCTTTGACTAAGTGGATGCATGGATAGATGGATTCTTGGATGGATGGATGCATGCATGGACAATGGATGGATAGGAAAGGAAAATGCTCTCCTAGGTGGAAAATCAACTGAAACATCCCCTGGGGTTGGAGGCAGGCAGGGAGTAGGTCCTCTTGGCCACCTTACCTCTCTCACTGCCTGGATAGTATTCTTTGGGCTCTGTAGGCTGCAAGTGGCAGAAAAGTAAGCTAACACAGCAGGACACTGATAGCCAAGGGTAGTGGCATCAATGTGGGGCACAGATGGTCTGGGACAGGTTGAAACAGATGCAGACCTCCAGATGGTAGCTGTGTGTGTGCTCTGTGATAAAGTACCCAAGGTCAGGTAATTTATAAATAGTAGAATGTTTGTCACAGTTCTGGAGGCCAGGAAGTCTGGGATTAAGGCATTGGGAGGCTCACATGAGGGTTGCTCTCTGCTTCCAAGATGGCGCCTTCTGGTTGTATCCTATCAGAGTAGAGGCTAGAAGGGCAAAAACACCAAGCCGGTTCCCTCCAGTCCTTTTATATGGTGCTAGTTCCATCCATGAGGGCAGAATCCTCATGACTGAATCACTGTCCAAACTCCTGTTGCCTCAGGGATTTCATCTCAAGATGAATTTTTGAGGAAACACAATATACAAATCACAGCAGCGGCTGTCTCCATCTACCTGGCCCTGGAGAGACAACCGTCAGTCCCCACGAAAGGTGCTGTGAGAAGAAAGGAATATTCTGTTATTACATTACTGGCTGTGAAAGTTTGGGCTTGTCTCTTCCTGCAATGCCTGTGTGGCAGATTCAAGACCCCCATACTTTTAACAGTTCTTGAAAAATTACCTCCTTTGCCATCTAGCCACGGCCAGGGCATGCTGCTTCTTGGATTCTGGTGGGCAGATGTAGGTTTCCTGGCCGGTCCTTTCCACAGCTCTGAGGACAGCCTCAACCGTTTTAACACCTCCACTGGCCTCCTCCTGCACCATGGGAATCCCCCAGCCCTCACTGTGGTGCCGCTCCAGCTGTGTCATTTCCTGATGAGAGGGTATGCCTTCAAGCTGGGCGAACGGTGACCTGCAGGGAAGGTCTCCCTTGGAAGCAGTTGGCATCAAAAGCTGTTTTCACATTTGTCTCTGTGAACCCATGGTCGCCTCTGCCTGGGAAGCAGCTGCAGGGAAACCTCTCTTCCAGAGAACACGATGGTGATGAGGGAGCTGAGAGACGCACGCATAACCTTGGCAGGCCCAGCTCTGCCTCATCCTCCATCTGAAGCCCCTGTTCCTGCCCCACACCCTGTGTGGACGGCCCTGAGTGCCCCTGGGCCACAGACGAACAGCCCTCAGCTCCGGCAGTGGCAGGCTTGATGGGGCGGTGGTTTCTAACAGCCTCCTGTGTATTGATTTCTGGGTGGGAGAGAAACTACAGCCGCTTCTCTTGGAGAGAGGCTGGAAACCGATGCTGCTTCGCCCACATCTATTTCCTGCAGCGTGGCCAGCTGCCTGCCGGCTCTGTGACCTTGGGCACGCCACCCCGCTCCCTCATCCCCGCCATTGTCAGCGTTCACAGAGGCCCATGAAGGGCAGTCTCTGGCTTGGTAGCGCTCACAAAATCCCTGCCCTGGGTAGATGCAGGTCTCCATTTCCACTCCTGAGGCAGAAGGGCTTGGGTAAGTCACGGTGGTCACCCGGCTGGTGGCATGGGATGAGGAGGTGCTTAGCACAGTACCCGGCTCTGGGACACTGAGGCTCAGGTGTGCATTGCCACCCGTACCTTTTCCTGCTGGTCATGCCTTGGGCCAAGTTGCCCCTGGATTTTTATTGTCATATAATTCCCTTTCCTTCCTCAACAAGCACAGCGCAAGGGTCAGTGGTGGCTGCTTATGGCCATGGCCTTGTGGAGACTAGGCCAGGCCCCATGCAGGCTTCAGGACCTCATTTACAAGTGGGAAGGAGCTACCAAGGGAAGACATGGCCTGGCCAGCAACAGGCAGGATAGGTGGACTATCGGCCCACCCAAGGAAGGCACCGGGTCAGACAGACACAGCATTGGAGGCAGGGTGGGGCCCCTCTCAGTGATACCCTGTATGCCACATGGAACCTGGCAGTGAACATGACCCAGCATAGCAGCTCCTAGGAATGTAGTGAGAACCTGTGGGTACCAGCACCCCGGCTAATGCTGGATAGACAGGGCTGCTAGGCCCCAGGGTCCCAGTGCAGCAAGAGCAACACACTGGGGAGGAACCAGGCCCTACTGGGGCCCGGGCTAGGTGGACAATGATTTCCCAAAACAGCATGTGTGGGGAGGTGGCCCTGGCAAGCTCTTGCGGGATTCTAGTTTCTTGCCCCTGTGGGTTAATGAAAACACAAAAGCGGTGACTCCAACAACATTAGTTTGGCCCCAGGGGGCCTTCCCTTAAGACAAGCCTCTCCAGGTTCTTTTTTGGAAGGGAACTAGGAGCTGCAGCTGGGAGGTGCTGAGCAGTGGAGGATGCAGGGAAGAGGGCGAAGAAGTGGGGGTGCATGAGAGGGAGGAGATCAGAGTAGGGGATGCTGAGAGTGAACCCCACTTTCCTGTCCTCTAGGCTGGCTCCCCAAGCCCTGACTCCTCACTTGGGGCCCTAGCTGAGAGCGCACAGTTCTCTCTGAGTCCTGCTGTGCCCATCCAGATCCTCCAGAGAGCAGACGCTAAGCTGGAAGCAGTGCAGGAGACTGGAAGAGAAGACACTGTGGCAGATGCGGAGTGGGCGAGGAGCAGGTGGACAGAGCCTCAGGCTGGGATGCAGGGCTGACCTGGGGAGCAGGAGTGGGAAGGGAGGAGAGGGGACAGGGAGGAAGAGCCTTGTCCTCGCTGTGGCCCGGAGGAAGTCCCCACAGCCTGGCCGATGGCGTCCCCAGAGCGAAGACTGCACTTGGAGGAGTCCATAGGGCAAAGTGGTCCAGCCACAGTGCCTGCCCCTCGGACTGGTCCCAGATGGAGCAGCCCAGCCACGCACAGTGGGCAGCGATTCTTACTGAGGTGGCACAAGCAGCTGCTCCTCACTCCAGCTGGTGCTGTCATGAGGGAAGGGTCTGTGGCTGACAGTCACCATGGGTTTCCCTGCAGGACCCCGGGTTCCCCAGGCCCGCCACGGCCTCTGTCTGTGGAGTCCTCCAGGCTGGCTGAGCACTGTCCCTTGCTAGGTATATCCTGCTGCTGGGTCCTCGGCCTGTCACCGGGTGCTCCTCCTACCTCCCAGCTGTCAGAGGTGGGCACCCTGCTCCATGAAGCCTGGGTGGGGCAGGAGAAGCCCTATGGGGGAGTTCCCAGGCTGCAGAGACAATGCAGTGATACCCAGGCAGACTGCGCTGTGGCTGTGCTCATGCCCGGAGCTGCCCTGTGTGCCACGGTGGGTGGAGTTGGAGCCAGATGCCGGCTGAGGCTCAGGTGAGCATGTTCCGGGCACTCTCTTCTCCTCTTCTCATAGGCCATGGCCAGCAGGACCTTGCTATCCTCCCGGGAGGGCCCAGCTCTTGATGCTCCCGCTGATGAGTGGACAGCAGGAGAGGAGCCTGAGGCTGTGACAGGGCAGGGAACTCTCCAAACACAGGCCCCACTCCTTCTGTGCCTGAGAACTCCCTGGGCCTGGCAGGCAGAGAAACAACGCCCCATGGGGGTGTTCGGCCTTCAGCGAGCACCACGCCCTGCCACCCCCTGAAAGCTATTTCTGCAGCTTCCTGGCATGGTTCCTCCTGCCAGCCCCACCTCTGTCCTCAGCTAGACCTGAAGGGAGCGGAGGCCTGGAGAGCCACAGCAGGGCAGGGCCTGTGTGATTGCCACACACACGAGCCACACTTAACCCCTGGGATGCCAGCTCGATTGGAGAATCTAGAGATTCAGAGCCTGCTGTGCCTGCATCTGCCCTCCCTAACCAAGCAGAACTTGCTGTGGCTCCCACTGAGCAGAGCCTGCTGTGGTTCCTGCCTGGCTCCCCGCTGGGCTTGGGAAGCCTTCTCGGTAACTTGTCCCATGACAGCGACAGTCCTGAGCTGCAGGGGCAGGTGGCCACCAGTAACTGTTCTCTTGGCTGGAAGGGCAGAATCCCGAGACAGGTTCATCTTTCTTCCCCTAGAGTAGGCCTGAGGACGAGGAAGGAGCCCCATGGTCGTCTATCCCCACTGGTGATGCCACAGTCTCACAGCACCCAGCAGAGCTGCCTCCTATCCTACAACCTGCTGGTGTCCACATGGATGGTCTGCTGGCCCTGGCCATGCAGAACTTTCTTTTTTTTTTTTTTTAATAGCTTGTCCTGTAGGGCTCTTATAAACAATCCATCTTCTCAAAGTCCACCTTGAATGCCTGGATATCCTCAGAGCCACCCTGTTTAAATTAGCAACCTCCACCACCTGCTCAGACTCCCTACCTCCCGCTTTTGCTTCCTTTCTCTCCGTGGTGTTCATTGCCAGTAACACGCTCCATATTGCGTTTATTTACCTTGCTCTGCGTCTCTTCCCGCCTGCACTCCAAGTAGAATGGACGCTCCAGGAAGGAGCGATGTCTGTTTTGATTACTTGATATCCTTAGGACAAACACTGTGCCTGGCATGCTTTGGTGCTCGATAAATATTTCTGGAATGAATTAAAAAGATCCTTTCTTTGAAAACAAATGATGCTTTCTTAGCAGGGCTGGAAGGAAAAATTCTGGGGTCCTTGCCACTCTTAGGACCCTTCACCCCACGACAGGACCTGCCCTGGGCTAGACTCTAGTCCATCTCCCTCTGGTCCCCTATGAAATTCTGGAAGGGTTGAGCCTGGTCTTCCAGGTTGGTGGTGGGACCTAGTCCAAGCAGCTCAGGAACTCCTGAGCAAGCCGACCCTACTTGCCTGCATCTCTTGACATCTCTGTCCTGCCCTGCACCCTCACTACACCCTGTGGCTGCAGATCCCCACCGGGAGCAGCGTAGTCATGCAAAACCTCCAGCCTCAGCCTGGACCCACAGGTACCAGATTCAGCGTCTTTACTAAAACTCTCGGCCAAACAGGTGTGCATTTCTGTTCAGGAGGCTCCGGCCTGTACACAGATGTTCCCTTTCTCCCAGGCCAGGGCAGTGCTTTGCTGAAGCCATCTTGATTCTTTTCCCCTGCAGCTACTAAAAGAGTCAGTCCTGGCAGCTGAGGCGAGCAGGCCTTCGCATTACCGTGCGGAAACGGTGAACCGCCAACCCCGCAATTAGCTGCAAGTATGGGGAGGCGAGGCAGGCACAATAGGCAGGCAGAGAACAGCAGCCGTAATTGCAGGGTGTGCCAGCCGCGGGACGCGCAGGGGGAGGCGGCATCAAAACGGCAACCACCTATGCATGAGCGGCTGTCAGGGCGGGACCCATGGGGGATGGCAGGGGAGGGACAGGGTGACATTAAGGCCAAGAAAGACTTGAGCCTGGCAGCCTGGACTCCTTGGGCTTGGATCCAGCCCTTCAGGTCTGCAGCTTGGTCTGGTCTGACTCCTTGTTGTGCCCACGTCACTGGAGGACATCTTAGGGGAAGGCTGCCCTTGGGTCCCCAGAGACCAGCTTGGGGCTTCTGGGCACCTGAAGGGTGGGACTTCCCAGAGGTGATTCTGCTTGCTGCATCTGCATTGGTCCACAGAGTTCTAGGCTTTCAGAGTGATGTTCAAACTGGGGTCCCCAGCACCCTAGGGCTCCATGGAGGGACTGGCGGTAGCCACCAGGGTGAAAAGGAGGCCTGGGTGCGCTGGGCTTGGTCCCAAGATCTGCTTGGGGCATCAGGCACAGATGTACCACTGGGCCATCTGAGACCTAACGTGATGGCACCCTGCCCCCCGCCCCCCCGTTCAGCCTTTTCTCTCTCTCTCCCCAGTAATACTCTGTCTGCTGCCAGTGAGTCATTATCATGGGCAGGTACTGTCCCTGGCCCTGGAAATGGAGCCCTGGGAAACAAGAACGGTGCCCTCCTGGGGCTCAGAGTTGAGCAAGATGAGGAAGAGAAGCATATTTGACTTGGCCCATGACCAGCGCTTCAACGAAAGGAAGAGTCAGTGGGGGCCGGAAGAGGCTTCTGTCCACCCACCCTCTGGGACTCCCTGCCAACTCCTGGCTGTGAAGTCAAACGTGTTGCTCAGGTTCCATGGCCAGATCCTCTCCTTCCAAGCAGCCTGCCTGGGCCCCAGAGGTCACTGCCTTCGTGGGGCTCACCCAGGACAGTGTCTGTCCATGCAGGGACCAAATTCTGCCTGCAGGGGGGCTCTCTTGCCCCTGCTGTGTCCCCCTTTGCCCTCTGACTCTCTGTCTCTGCAGCTTCCAGCCATGGTAGGAACCTCTGAGGCTAACTTGTGTGACTCAGGGAGACAGGTAACTCCCTCGGTCTCCCTTTCCTCGGATGTAGAACAAGAATGTGATGCAGGGAGACTCCTCAGAGCCCCCAGCCTGACCTCAGTGACTCGGTATTCTCCCTCCAGTCCCGGGCTCCATTAGCATTTCTCAGGGACAAGTGGCCAATGCTCCGCCTGACTCTGGGGAGGGGGCTGGGGGCTGTGCCTGGGGGTCTGGTGCACCAGGGCCACCTTCCTGGACGTTATGAAACCATAGGTAAAGTGGGGACACAGGCACTTGGGTCAGCTCAGCTTCCCTCCACCTCTCTGCACCGCCACTCCTGACTTTGGGGGTTTCCTTGCACCCCTGTGTGGTTATGGTGTCCACTAATCCCAGCTGCCCCCCCTCCACATGTGACTAACCTCCTTCCCTGGCATTTTAAACCCACATACAAGAAGGTGGGCACCAGAAGCTGACAGCAGCCTGTCCCCGAGTCTCCCCTGCTCCTGGTAGCTTGTTCCAGCTAGGACAGTGAGATGGGCGGGCCGATGGGAGAGGTGCCCAATCACAGAGACAGAGTCCCTCAGCCCTGCGGCCCTACCCTGGCTGTCCACTTCCTCAGCTCTTCCACCTGACCCTTCTGAAACACCCCGTGGCCCTCCTTCCATCTTCCCAGTCTCTGACTGCCTGCGGGGGAGAGTGAGGCCTGTGACCTTCCCCTCCTTCCCCACCTTGAATGCCCAGCTCCAGGCAGGGACAGGTCTGGAGTGCAGCCTGGCAATCAGGCAAGGGTAGGAAGCACCGGACACCGACAGGGGCATCTTCAGGAAGCAGAACTGGGTGAGGGAATCAGCGCTATCTCTGCCTGAGGAGCCCAGTGTGCTGGGGGCCCCTGCCCTCCAGAAACCCAGGGAGAGAGAGACAGGCCGCAGTTTACAAGGCCCCACTACAACAGGCAGGAGGGCATCTGTGCCAGAGTAATGGAGCGCCCCTGGGAACCCAGAAGGGGAGTGGCTGGGATCCTCAGGGCGTCCCTGTGGACGCTGTCTGACCGTTGCTTCTCTAGGCCACCCCCTTGCCTGTGGCCCTTGTCTGCCGGGCTGCCCTTCCCCCACACCCACTCCCTCCCCCTGGCCCCGGATGAGTTTCCATGTGGAAGGTTTCTGGAGGCCTGGACCAGGAGTCAGCTCAGGGGAAGGAAATGAGGTGGGGACTCCGGGGCCTATCCACCCTTCTCCGGTTTCAGAGTCTTGTGCCTGGGGAAACATCCGCCTGGTACTTAACACGCGAGCCCTGTTTCCTCTTGCCTCTCGGCACACCTTTAGCCAAGTGTGACTGCCTGTTCCCAGTGAGAAGGCGACATCTAACCCTGAGCCCTGAGATCTCCTGAGTCACTCCGGACCTACCGAGAAGAGCCACGTGGCTGCACACAGCTCTTCATGCTCGGGGGTGAAGGCCACCCCGGCCTCCCACTGAGCCTGCTCAGTGCGCTGTGCGGGCACTCCCCGTCATGCTGGCCAAGTGGGCCGGGTGACGGCATCGTAAGATCCAGACTTCCAACCAGCAGCACCAGCCGGGGTTACGACCCCCTTAAAGCAGGTTGAACAGAAGATGGAAGGGTGGCTCCCTGCTTTGGGGACAGAGGAGGACAAGGGTGCCATTATTTCCCAGGACTTACTTCTTCCCGACTGCCAGGATGAAAGCAGACCCTTCATTATCCCATAAATCTGAGCAATCCAAAACTACGTGCCCCAGCCCCAGGCCATGGGTCCTCCGGCTGGGGCAGGTTGGAGGCCCCCACTTGCTGCCACCCCCATGCTGGTTCTAAGAAGGTCTGAAATAACAAAAGGAGGTAAGGGGGGAGGTACCTAAAATAAAGGCCTCTGAGGATGAAAGCGTGGATCCAGTCTTTCCACTGGGGGGGACGAAAAGACTGTCATTTGTTCTTGGGTAGAGTTTAAAGAAGAACAGTGTATTGTCATTGTGAAATGGTTTCATTTTAAGCTTTTACTTTGGGGGATTTGTTCTGGTTTTGTACTTTCTCTCTTCCCTGTGGCCGCTGCACATGAAAGGCTGGGGTCAGGCCCCGCATGGGGCTGGCGAGTGGGATCCGCTGCTTCCTCTTTGATTTACCCACAGTCAGCGGGACGCTGGTTCCACCTGGAGATGTCTGGCTGTCTCCTTCCGGCCAGTCCCAGACTTTGCTGAGAATAATTCCTTCTTTAAAAACACACACTCACACACACATAACAATTCCCATTAAATGTTTCAGATTGCCCACGCCAAATTCAAAGCTCAGAGAGAGCACTTTGAAGACTTTTCAGGGAATAAAAATAAAACCCTTTCGCAGATGTTGGAGAGACTTTGCTGAAATAACTCCTAGGTCCAGGAAATGCGGCTGAGATGAGTGAGTGGCCGAGGCCCAGCCCTGGTGCCCAGAGTGGGGCTGAGGAGCAGGGCTGGGAGACAGGCTGCTTTGAGGATTACGGATTTTTAGGGTCTGATCCAGCATTGGCCCGGTGTTGCTGGCCTGGCTGATTGGTGAGGGAAGGCGTGCGGTCTGAACAATGGCTGATCCTGAAACTAAAGGCGCTTTCCCCGTTTGCATCTTCTAACAAGGTGTCTCCTAGAAGGAAGCCATGGGAGCTCTGAACCATAGTCCAAACCCAGCCGTGCTCAGATTCAAGTGCAGCTCAATTCAATGCATTCATCCATTCAACAAACATTCACTGAGCATCTACTATAGACCAGGCGTTGCACTGGTCTACAGGGACTGCACTGCAGACACAGGGGGCAATAAAACAAAGGTTCCTGGATGTCTAAGCTGCAAGGTCCAGCAAACCCAGACCTAGCAGGAGCCAGTTCCCCGAGGCAGCACTGCTCCAGCTGCAATGAGTTAACAAACCACCTGAGAGGGACCCAGTTAGGAGCTGACTCTGACCAGGACTCCCAGCAGAGTCCCCGGCTGGCTCTGCATTTCCAACAAGCCCCCAGGCAGGGTGCTGTGGATGCTCCACCGAGTCTGGGTTCAGTCTCAGCCCATCATCTGCTGTCAGCTTAAGCAAGCTTTGGGTGGGGGTGTTGGTGTTTTTGAGACAGGGTCTCGCTATGTAGTTCAGGCTGGCCTTGAACTGGTGGCAATCCTCCTGCCTCAGCCTCCAGAGTGCTGAGATTACAGGTGTGTGCCACCATACCCGGCTTTAGGGAAGCTTTTTAACCATGTTCTGCCTCGGTTTCCTCTTTTATAAAATATATTCAAATAGACCCCTCATAGAAACATTATGGAAGTTATTTTTGTTCTTTGTTATTTAAATCCACTTGCCCCAGGATTTTTTTTTTTTTTCTGGTCTTTTTGAGACAAGGTCTCTCTATGCAGTTCAGGCTGGCCTTGAGCTCACTTTGTAGCCCAGGCTGGTCTTGAACTTGCAATGATCCTCCTGCCTCAGCCTCCTGAGTGCTGGGATTAAAGGCATGCGCCACCACGCCCAGCATTGCCCCAGGATTGTTATTCCTCCCGGAGTCTTAGTGTCGTCCCTTTGTATCCTGCTCTTGTCCTGAATCTCCCTGTCTACCGTCTGCTTGAATAAGAAGGCTCCTTCCTATCCTGAGAAGGTGGAGGGGTGCACCGTTTTTCTGCAACGCCACCAGCCTAGGTAGGTGGCGCTGGGGAGGGACAGGTTTCCCCACAGATTGAGGCTGGAGAATCTCGTCATCAGCTGCCTAGCAGCTGAGGGACAGGCAGAGTGGACAGCTGTCCTGAGGCATCACACAAGGGACCAGCAGATCATGGAAAGAACAGAAAAGCATCTGGGTGCAACTTTTGCCTCTTCTGGACACTTGAGTGGCCTTAGGCAAGATTTTTCACTTCTCTACTCTTCCTTTTCCTCCCAGGTTAAATGGCGTTCACGGTGGTACCAGCTCCTAAAGTTGCTTGCTTCTCCTGACCCCAATTTTCCACATCCAAATTGGAAGCAGACCCTGGCATTTTAACCTAGGGCGTCAACCTCACAAGAGGGCAGGTTCATGACTGGAACACTATAAGTAGAGGGCACAAGGGCATGTCACAGGGGCTGATGCCAGCCTCAATTCTGGGAGGGAATTCAAATATCTCCATGGTGACACTTCCAAAGCCGAAAGTGTGAAAGTGAGCGTGATGTTATGATCCAGGGCAGGAACATTTCTGGTGGGTCCTGAACCTCTTCATCTGAGCAGGAACCGATCAGAGGACTCGAGTCTGCACGTGGCACAGGCAGTGTGCTGCATAGCAGTCTTTGCCCCCTCCCATATCTGCTGCCCTGTCACCCACCCCACCTTCTCCGGACCACAGGAAGAACCCTTGATCACAGCAAGATCCCAATGTACCACTTACTGGCCAACTACAAAGGAACAATTCTTTTAAGCCCTCTGGGTCTCTGTTTTTGTGTGCACGAAAAGAGAACACTGGAATGACGGTTTCTAAAGATGCTTGGTTTAATGCAACAGTCTCCAGTAGGACAAGGGTGGAACTGTACCCCAGCAGGGTGGGTTTCACCCACCTCATCCAGCCCCATCAAAAATCCTCTTTTACAGCCACACCATACAATAGCTGGAACATACCTAAATTGCTTGTGGTGTATCTGAAATAAACATTGTTTGGTTGTAAGTGGGCATCCTCTGTTTTACCTGGCAACCCTGCCTTGACCCCATGCCGCCAG